ACTCCGAAAGGCATTAATCAAAGCTAACCAAGGTGACCTATCCAGACTCCTAATGAACACTGATGAAGATTCAAAAACTGAATACGAAAAAAAGCTAGCCATGGCAAGGTCGTTAGTGATCAATACAAAAGACAGGGGTACTTCTGAATCTAAAAAAGACAAACTTTTGCAAGAGCAAAGATGTAGAATACCTTTGGACGATGTAAACGACCTCTTTCTCACTGTCATGCCTTACAAGGGGATACTTTACATCAATATCCGACACCTTGCAGAGTCGACTCATTGCCACAAAGAAGGGTGTTACCTTTCCTTTGGACCGCTGGTTAAAGTTTGAATCTCTTTTGCCAGATATCCAAAGCTACATCGACAATGTTGGACAAGAAAATGACGAAGCACAGTGGCATGTTGGCGGAGGAGTGTTTGTTTCATTATCACCGAACAATCCTACAGTAGACATTAGACATTTTTGGAAACCAGAAGACGCTACAAAACCGGTCCCAACAAAGAAAGGAGTCACACTAAACAGGAACAAGTTGGCAAGACTTGGGTATGCTGTCGAAGAGATGCACGAGTATGTTCCGGAGTTAAAAGACGCAGAACTTTGCATGATGAGCGAGTCTCACCAGAATCAGCTAGGGATGCTTTACTGTCCGGTATGTACTCCTTTCGGATACGACCCACGAGAGACTCCTTCTTCCTCCATGGAATGTAACGCTGGGGATTCTCAAGATCTAATAAACCGGGAGAGTGATTTTGAATGAAAACTTTTAAATTTTTATATTACTTTTGGGGCCTGGTATATGTATGATCTGTTATGTGTGTAATTATTGTATTCTAACAAAAATAAAATGATACTCGACCAAACAAGTTTTGTGTTTTGCTATAAAACTCTACTCTGAGAACCATATAGATAGTTTGTTCCAGTATGTCAAACTATACGGATTACTACGGGAGCTTTATTACACTCCCGGTAAACCAGGTGCATTTGCTGGCCCCGAAAAATTGTACCAAGCTGTTAAATCAGAGGGTAAATATAAGATTGGAAGACAAAAAATTAAACAGTTTTTAAACAACGAAGATGCTTATAGCCTGTTTAAGGAAGAGATTGCAAGGGTACATGAAAAAAATCCGCTCTATGAATTTTTCTCATTTTTACATATAATTTGCCTTACCTTAATGGTATCATAATATGAAAATTTCAACTATGGTCATCAGGGTTATAAGGAAGATATGGTTGCCATGGTAACCACCGTTTTTCAATATTTTGATATTTATGTAGTGAATTTTTAATTATGCCATACAGGTATCAAAATTGAAACAAATTAAATAATTTTCACCAGATATTAAATAATATGCTTTATATTCATCGGAAATAAAAATTGTATCGGAAACTACTGATAGATGTACTAATGCCACAGTTGCTTTGGGGAGTAGTCATTGTAAATTATTATAAGTGACTTATGGTTAAAATATGAAGTGGGGTCATCACATTCTTTTTTAAGCTACATGCATTTCAATATCCCCCCTTCCTAAAATATTAAAAGATTTCATAAATTTTAATCTGATGGTTTGTTGCTGAACCTTTAATATGCATAATTTGTTACAAACTATAGAAAATATGTATAGATTAATAAATTTTTTTCCTGAAAATCTTGTAGTGGTTGCTCATTTTATACGTAGAGCAGAAAGATATAAGTATAATGTACACAAAAAACAACAATATGCATATTTTTTTATTTCCCCATCTCCAAAATATTCATTCCGTTATTATATCAACATAAGTACATGTATATACATTCTAAACCAGTGCACAGTGGTCTAAGGGCCAAATTATTCATGCTCTGAACACTCATCGAGTTCTCTGCACTGTGACTTGGAATCGGAAGGGGGGGGGGGGGGGTCACTTGAACACATTGAATGAATAAAGTATTTCAGAGAACTTGTACCTGCAATATATACCGTATATAAAAATCCTAACTATTATCTTATTTGACAAATTTTATGATTTGCTATTTAATATTTACATTTTGCAAATATTTTTCCTTCAGATTCATTGCAAGTTAGAAAACAATTCATTTTTTCATGAACTAGGTAAGCCTACATATCTCCATTGTGACGTCATAATGCCACACTTGAGGTCAAAACTATAGTGCAAACTGTTTTGTTTCAAAAATAAAGACCTCGATTGTCAGAATTAACCTCTCTTAGTTTCGTCTGTCATTCTTACTCGCGTATTTTTTGCTAGATTTGTGAAAACTTGCAAAAAGAAACTTTTCTTTTCTGTCATCAGAAGTGTGTTAAGTTTCAATTTTTTACCAAATACGACGAATAAAACATTTTACCACAACAATTATATGTTTACGCAATAATGTGCCGACGATTCAATGTTTACATGGTCGATGTAAGAGTTGAAAATGCTAGAGAAGATCTTACACAGGAAAACAATTTCCTCTGCGATATTTTTAAAAATACGTTCATGTCCAGCATGCGGCCTCAAACTGGTCTATACACGTATATATAAAAATCGCATTCATTTATCTGTCCATCCTTATAGGCCTATATTCATTATAATCACTGAGAAAATCACGCCGTCTGAAGCTTCTAAGAAATGAATATCGATTCATAGATGTAGATCCTATAGGAAAGAAACCGATCTCAAATAAAATTCTAATATTAATATTTTAAATAAAACTAGAGGACGTAAAGATCCAGATATGAATTACATTTATTCATGAAATAGATTTCAGTGTTCAGAACTACGACAAAAGGTAGACGTGTCGAAACGAAAAAAAAACCACAGGGATAAAAAAAAGTCTGCGTCGACGCTCACCAACACTCTGCAACATCACATCTTTATATTATTCTTTCTCTGCTTTAAAAATATTGCCACGAAGATATTTTGTCATGGGCGTAATCATAATCACGCTCCTTATTCAGCTGTTATTCCGGAAATGGTTGTACCGTAAATCTTCTTTTTTTAAACATCACATGAGTCGATCACGTGACGCCTTGCAATCGCTTCCTTAAGCCGATTCGAAAGACATTTCCTCGCTAAAATGTGATTGTTGACACGATTGACTCTATGTGGGATGGTGATTTGGCAGACGTCAGCAACATAGCGTCTCATAACGATGGATACAAATTTCTGCTAGTGTTAATAGACATATTCAGTCGATTTTTATTCATCATTCCTTTGAAAAATAAACAAAATCAAACGATCATTGAAGGTTTGAAATCTGTTTTCCAAAAAGGAAGAAAACCGCACACATTGAGAACAGATAAAGGTAGTGAATTTGAAAACCGTTGGGTAAAGGCTTTTCTAAAGAAAGAAGGCATTAGTGTTATATACACTCAAAACGAAACAAAAGCAAATTATGCGGGGAGGGTAATTCGCACCATGAAAAATCTGATGTATCGTTATTTCATGAATAAAAGAACGTACCGCTATGTGACTGTGTTACAAGACCTGGTAAACAGCTATAACAAAAGACCACACAGGTCCTTTAGGTAGTAATGCACAAGTTAATGTCAATAAAGATAATGCTGATGAAATCAGACTAGATGCATATCTATCGGATCAGAAAAAGGCCAAACTAGACAAGAATGTTAAGGTTCAGGAGGACGTTAAAACATCAAACAAAGTATTACGAAAAAGAATTAAACCTGTGTTTAAGTTCAAAATTGGAGACAATGTGAGAATATCACAACTCAAACATCCATTTCAAAGAGATTACCAGCAAAAATGGACAGGAGAATTTTTCAAAGTAAGTGCCAGATATAAAAGAGGAGGAATTCCTGTGTACAAAGTAAAGGATTTAGACGATGACCCAATCGAAGGTACCTTCTACGAATCGGAACTTCAGAAAGTCATAAAAACAGGAGATGTATTGTACAGAGTTGAAAAAGTGTTGAAAAGACGGGGTCGGGGGAACGTTAAAGAGGCCTTTGTAAAATAGGAAGGATGGCCGCGTAAATTTAACTCGTGGATTCCAGAAAGTTCTTTAGAAAACGCCCAATAAAAAGGAGCAAGTTTCACCAATCCTTTTTCATTCAAAATGAGCGTCCGAATGGTACTGACGTCTACCGACTGCTCTGAGTATTTTGATAACAAACCCAATTGTTTCCGAGTTCAATTAAATAAGCAAATTCCGTTCGAAGGATATTGGTCAGTTGCATTAACAGAATTCTCAACAGAGAGTTGGATCACATCCAAAAAGAAATCGGATTTGTTTGTGTGTTGTGATATCTGTGAGGAAACGATTGTTGGAGGGAAAGACGCCCCCTTTTTGAGACGTGTATGTCTTGGGCAAAACCCAGAAAACATTACGTTTGCTTTACCCTATTACATTCCGGGAAAATCTGCGAATTACAGCAGATCGGTATATATATAACGGACAGAGAGGGAAACTTGGTTTCATTTTTAGATGGACCGGTGACCGTAACACTTCATTTTAAAAAGTTTCCTTACGTTTTATGATGAACAGTCAGACGTACGTCAGTGACCCCAGACTCTGGGAAGCGTTTTACAAAAACATGGCAGAGAAAAAGTTTAATCCTTTTAAGTACAAGCCTAAGCAAATAGGAAGAGGAAGGAAACGACACAGATCTTACGTCATTCCTTTGAGGCCACACTCACAATTGGAATCTTCCGTAAACTCAACTCACGTGACTCCGGTAGCTGCAGTGGAGGAAAGGGCGAAAACTGAACACGCAAATGATATCAAAGAAGGTGTTCCATTCGTCAAGGTACACAGTGTGGGTATAAAAAGGCCCCGTTCTCGATCTTCTGTCATTCCCACGAAGAAGAGGAAGACGACAACACGAACAAATCAAAAGCAGAAGAAAACCAAGTCTCCTAAACTAGCTAAGCAACGAAAATCGAAGTCAATCAAAACAAAGTCGGTTACTAAGAAAAAGCGAATACCTGTCAAGAAAACAAAGTCAATTAAAGTGAAAAAATTTAAGATTGACGCCTACAAGAGTGTCTTTCAGGATTAAAAATGGCCTTTTTAAGCGGTGATAACAAAGACATAGCTCAGCCCATGGAACTGTCTCTATTTGCATCTCCTACCAATCAAGTAGCGGTAGAGAAAGTATATTTCACGGAAGCAAGACCAATATCCAGCATAGGTGTATCAGACACACCAATCGAAATTGTAGTTTCGGGTTCAGGTGCAGAATATATAGATTTGAAAAGAAGTAAATTGTACGTAAAAGCACGAATTTTAAAAGCCGACGGGACAGCTCTAGCTGAACAAGAAAAAACGGGTATCGTAAACCTACCTCTGCAAAGTATGTTTTCACAGATGGACGTCTACTTAAACAACAAACTTGTGTCCTTCAATACAAACAACTATCCATGGAAAGCTTATCTCAAGACAATTTTGTTCAGTGGGAAAGACGACTTGGATTATCAAAAGCAGTCAGAATTGTTCTATAAAGACGAAGGGACGATGAACGACGCCAACGCTTACAACGGAGGTAACGCTGGACTAGTGCTACGATACGGTTTTACTCAGCAAAGTAAAATTTTTGAGCTGGAAGGAAACCTGAAGGAAGATATCTTTGATATAGACAAGTACTTGATAAACGGAGTAGACATTTACATCAAACTATTTAGATCCAGCACCCCGTTTGTGATCATGTCTGCAGAATCCTCAGCAGCTTACAAACTAGAACTGCTGGATGTCGTGTACAAAGTTGCAAAGGTACGAGTAGATCCTGGTGTTCTGCTGAACCACAGTAAACAAATCGAATCGACGCCTGTAAAGTATACGATATCAAGGAACGAACTAAAAATGAATACCATACCCAAAGGATCGACAGAATTTTACTGGGACAATATTTTCCCCCAGGCTGTACCCGACCGTATTGTGGTAGCTCTGGTAGACCAGAAAGCTGTCAATGGTGATTATTCGGCCAACCCATTCAATCTCGAACACATGGGAGTAACAGATGTCGGTATATACGTCAACGGAGAAGGCGTACCTGGTAGACCACTAAAAACGGACTTCTCAGCAGGACAGTATGTGGCAGCTTACACTCGTTTGTTTGAAGCCTCGAAGAAATGGAACACAGATGCTGGAATCGATATCTCTCGAGAAAATTTCGGATCGGGATACTCCTTGTTTGTCTTTACCATCGATCCTTGCGGGTTTGGCGAAGAATATTTAAACCTCATTCGTCGAGGAAATACCAGACTGGAACTGAAATTCAAAGAAGCTACAACTAAAGCTGCCAACGTCCTTGTATTTGCTACGTTTTCCTCCCTGCTTGAGGTGGATAAATCACGTGACATTAATTACATTCAACCATGAACTCGACTCAGATGTTAAAGATTGTGAGAACGGACCCCTGCTTAAGACGTTACTTAAAAGGAGTGTTTGCCAGCAACACGTTACCTTGAACTGTGACCGAGTTTCCGAGTGCATTTATCGTGAATACACAGCCTTTACCGTTTCCCGGAGAACATTGGGTGGCGTTTATTGTGTTTGACTCGTTTCATGTAGAATTTTTCGACAGTCTTGGAAAATCACCAGCCGATTATAATACCGATATACAGAACTTTTTCGATAAAAATAAAATGCATTGTACTTTCAAAACGATCCCATTGCAACCATATTATTCCGATTGGTGTGGGCTTTATGTATTGGTATATTTAATTGCGAGATTGTGTTTCAAATATTCGTTGAATCGGGTGTATGATTTGTTTCCTAATATACATGTCAATGATACCTTTGAAAAACATTTTATGCATGACTATGTGAAATACTAATAAAGTGAGTTTCAACAGTACAATATTTTGTCAAGTATATAAATATGAGATTAAACGTGAAGTAATCTCAGTTTAAGAATGACCAAGGAAAAAGAAACACTGATCATGAACGACTGGTGGAAAACACATGCTTTACTTCCGTTTTCGGCACCTACGACTATTTTGAGCTGTGGATGCACACAGAGTGGTAAAACCCATTTTACCAAATCACTTCTACAAAATGCTAATGGAATGTTCTCTGTACCGGTGGACAAGATTATTTACGCCTACACTGAATACCAGCCCGTCTTTGACGATATGTCTCAGTCAATACCAAACTTCACATTACACCAAGGGTTGCCATCTAAAGAAGACATAGAGCAGTATACAGAGGGTGTCAATCACACCATCTTGGTCTTGGATGATCTGATGTTACAAATAGCCCAATCGCAAGATTGTGTTCACTTGTTTACGGTGACATCTCATCATAGAAACGTGACTACGGTGATGCTTTCGCAGAACCTTTATCCTCCCGGGAAATATGCGAGGACCATATCTTTAAATTGTCAGAACGTAATTTTGTTTAAAAATTATCGCAATTCTCGACAGGTAATCACGTTTGGTTCTCAGGTATTACCGGGACAGGGTTCTTTTTTCAAAGCCGCTTATGAATCAGCGACCAGAAGAAATTTTGGGTACTTGCATGTCTGCTTAGAGCCTACACAAATGAGGGAATACCAGTTAAGGTCTTGCGTACTCCCCGGAGAAGATATGATTATTTATCAACCTATATAAAGTTGTACTTAAACTTTTCGTCTCAGTGTATAATCATGAAGCAAACAGTGAAGAAGCATAGAGCTCTTTTAAATTTCCTTTTGTATGCTGACAGTGCCCAACAAAGACTAATTCTCAAAACCTTAACTAGCGAGCAATTCGACGTGATGAGTGAAATAGCTCTTAATATTTATACTGGTACATATCCTTTAACAAAAAAATGTATAAATGTGCTGAAACCATTCGAATCGGACATTCGGAAGCTGGGATCCAGAGAAGTGAGCAACAAGGAGAAACGTCGAATATTATTAAAACACATTGAATTGGTGCCCTTATAACTGAAACCCATTGTGTCGCGTTTTCCCTAAAATGGCAAAAAAATTTATACTTGTGCCTAAATTAAAGTATGACCGTCTTGTGGGCCAACACGCCGAACAACTGTCCTCTACAGACACTCAAAATACACCGGAGTCCCTAAAGGAAATCCAACCTATGGGTGATAAAGAAGATAAAGACAACATGTTACAAGCAGGAAGGGGTTTTGTCAGTCTATCGGCAGACCTCCCGGAATATCTGAGGGTAGACGCAAGAACAGGAACAAAAACATTCCTTGGCTGACGTATTGACATGTATTAAATAAAAATTAAAGCATTTTTTTTACATGACTTGTTAACGTAATTTAATAAAAATCATGTACAAATAAACATTTTAGCGTTGTTGTTATTTAAAATCCGAATGGCAATGTATCCAAATTGGGTAGAATTCTTCGTTTGGTATAAACCATTTTATAGTTTTTTGTTTCTACTCTGTTGAGCAGTTTTCTTTTTCTACTGTCCCTCGAAATTTTACAAGGATTGACGACCTCGATTTTTCTTTCGGGTGACGTACAGATGATCGATTTAATGGCCTCGAAATTGATTAATTTCGAGTTGGCCCAGTTCAATGTAAACCCTCGAACTTTACATTCTTCTTTGCCAGACGATGTGCGATAGGCATAGTTCTTTGGACCCCCCGAGACGAATTCAACAATGTAGCCGTCTTTGGGGCGGATCTCGTTTGTTAACTCTCCTAAGTAATTGCCGATAGGAAGGTAACTCAAATCGTCCGACCGTTTAGTCTTAAAGATGACACTGTCTGTATCGAAATACAATACGTTCTCGTTTAATTGGTCGAGAACACTGTACAATTTCAGTCGAGCCCACATAGTGGTAAACGATGCCAGGAAGATATTGGTTTTGTTATCGAATTGAGTAAATAAAGGATTGTTGCTCCATTCTAAATGAATAATGTCTTTTGAAACGATGTGGAAATTGTGGGGGGTTTTGGTCGGATCAGTGAGCATTTGAAAAAATTTATCGGCCTCCGTTTCGTGAATAAACATAGACTGTTGCATACCCAATCTCTGACCAAATTTACCCCAGAAGCTATTCAAACAGAGTTTTGCTAAGCATCGCAACCCGGGATTCAACATAATTTTATCGTATTCTAAATCTATGCCCTCTTTTTCTTTGCAATCCCCGATGTATTTCCGTTTCGCCTCTTCCGTTTTACAATCATCTAGAAATCCCGAAGCCTCCTGTTTAATTTTTAAGATAATGTTGACGTACTGAGTAAACAATCCCCCCTCACACGATTCGACATTGTACATAGACGACTCGGCAAAATGATAGACCTCGTAGATGTTCAAGATTTTGTACCCTTTAGACATTGCCATTCGAATTTCAGGAGTACACCACGTGCCCGTGATGGCCCTCTCCTCTAGGGAACACGTGCATTCGTTCTGATTTTCATTGTCCGCGCAGGTTCTACACAATGAAAACTTCAATTTTCCATTAGAACTGTAAGGAAGCACGGGGTGATAGAGTTTTCTAGGGGGTAAAATTTTAATTTTAGCAAGTCCAAAATACTGAGACATATCCTGAAAATTGTCCGTGACGATGGTAGGAAGTCCTACGGGATATCGACAATATTCGTTTGTCCACGGATAAAGACTGGTAAAGTCGTAATATTGAATGGTTTCGTCTTCCGCCGCCTTGTAGTGCAATTTTATGGCATTAGTTCGATCGCCGAAAAAACTATCACGTGGGTCGAGTCTGTCCTGTATATCCAATGTCGACACGAACTGCTGTAACGCCACATTCTTTTCCAGTTGATATTTAAATTGATGTTCCCAAATGAAGACAACTTTGTATCCTAGATCCTTGAGTTCTCGTTCTCTCTTTTTCGTCATTTCATATAATTCCTGGATCGTCTGATTGGTGGAAGGATGTCTTGAGATGATGACGATCTTCGGCGTAACAAGACGGACAACCGTGGAACACACAACCTATTCAGAAAAACGAGAAAACAATAAACGTATTTCTGGTTAACACTTGGTACGCCGCCGCCCCCCCCCCCTTCAATTGAGGGGGAGAGGGGGGTAAATGTTAAAGATATAAATGTATATGGTCTTACCATGAAATTCGTAAATGGTTCCTTTTCCGGTTGGAGTTGGGACAAATCCGTCACATCTGTAATTGGTGCCTGGAATCTGATATTCACCTCCGTTAAGAGCGTGTGAAATACTAACGGGGTTTCCCCGCTGACGACTTTTTTCCATTAACCACTCTAACCATTTAATCGAAACTTTACTGTAATTATCGCGTTTCGTATACCCTTGAGAAGGCACGACTGCTATGGGACTCTTGAAATATCGTTTGCCTATTTGCATGTTCTCGTCATTTTGAAGGTCGAATACAGGGACCCATTATTCCTCGAGGTTGACCACTTGCAGTCCTCTTAAATGTTCGATGTCGTACCATTTCGTTTCCCCGTCTTTGGTTATTTGCATTTTCTCCTTTCCCTTCAAAAATAAAGACTTAAAAATGCCCATGCAAACACTTGCGATGGTGACGTAATCGAAAGGGTCGACTCCATAGGTGGTTTGTTTTTTTTTTTTAAGTTTCCGTCAGCTTGTGCAACGTGTTCCTCGATGGTCGTCACGTTGATCATTAACTTTCTAAATTCAAGACAGCCCGTCGCAATATATCGACGTCCGACCGACAGTATTGCAACATTTCTTCTCGAAAATGAAACGTCTCGTCTTTTTTCGTTGCATTCCAGTCTTCTAATTCCTTTCGCTCTTCTGTCGACAGGAAATGGTATCCGTAGTATTGTAATTCTGGATACAGGCCCACGTAATTTTGATGAGCTTTAATATTGAATAAATGGGGAAAGTATCCTTTGGAGAGTTCTTGCAGACCAAACGCTTCTGGTATTTTAGCTAGTTTCATGGGAAGAAAATTGAGAGAATCCATAAAAGTTAAATTCAGTTTTGGGGCTATGTGCATTTTCATGATTTTGGAACCATTGTATATGATTTTGCTTGGTCGAATGGAGTGTCGGTCGATGAGAACTTCTAAAACGGGGTACAAGTCAAAACTTTTTGCATTATGTGCAATTAAAATCGAGTCTTTGCAGTGCTTACTAGTGACGTAAGCGCAAAATCTTTCGGCGGCGTTGTCCCCGGAAAACACTAGTTCCCTCTTCCCACAGGCCCCGGGACATGGCGGAGTAACGTATTTTCCTTTGTGTGTCCCAGAACAACTTCCACATCGTGTCCCGCAATTACTGCAAGTGGCACCCTCTACCAATTCCTCCTTTTCGCATTTATGACAAGCGGTCTGTAGTACTGCAAAGTTGACTTTGTGTTGTATTAGACCACACGACGGATCACGACAGTTCTGACATAGTCTACAGTTGACGCACTGGCGTGGCTCTTTAACGCAATGTCGACATCTGACGCGAGACGGACTGTATCCCGCCTCACAGTGGAACATGTCATCCTGGCGTGTCTCAAAATCGTAAAAGAAGAATTTCTTGTTTCGCTTTTCGATTTCAGATCCAAACGATTTCTGGTAACAATTATGTTTCGCGGTTTGATATTCTCGGCAGTTAGGGCACTGCCATTCTTCGCAAACGTGTAACTCGGGTGAGCGCTTCACACGTTCCACAACGACTCTACATTTTGTACACTGGTAAAACAGGTCGCATGCAGGGGGATAACTCTCTTTTTTGACTTCTCGTTTTTCTTTATGGCTTTTGAAACTCAATTGGGATCGACAAACTCGACCACAGGAACGACAGCCCATTTGGACATCCGTTTCTGGACAGTTGTTGCGTAAACACACTTCAGAAGAGGTGACACAAGAATGTTTCGATTTATCTTTATACGGTTTCAAACAGGTATGACAAAAGTACGACGCTTTGAAAAACCCTTGTATGCTGGCAATCCCGTGCCAGTGTTTTTCTTTTTCCGAGTCCACGTGATGCAGATAGAGACGTGGTTTTTCCTGGTCCTTTGTCACCCTGACGAACTTGTTTCCTACTCTAGAGGACACGACGTTGATAGAGACATTGAGTAAGGTTTCAAAGGGCTCGATGTCATTTAGACCTAAATATCTGTCGGTGGGCACCCCGGCTTTTTGACAAAGCCACATCGCCAACTCGGTTTGCTTTTTTTTTCTCAACGTTTTCAGGACATTGTCATAATAGGTCTTGGATACAGTGCGGTGTTTGAGAACATGATCAAACATCCCCTCATTGGAATCATTCCTCACCAATTGTGACCAGGTATGCGCGTCCACTTTTTTACACGTTTTAAGAAAACATAGACCAATGGAAATGGCCAGGCATAAATTGTTATCATTTTGTACGTGAAAAGTGATTTTTTCCTTTCTACGCTATTTTTGGGTCCAAAAAGAGAAGTGATGAGTAGTTTTCTCGGGTTACCTCCTCCTTTTGGCAAATCAATGGACCCTATGGTGACCAAAAGACTTTCGTCAACGGGTAAGCTTTCGTTCGAATCGAGTACCTTGACGATTTCTGACATTACAACATCTGCATTCAGAGTTTCCCAGGATTGTAGCGGCTCTACGATCGGATTGTTTAAACTCGGATGACTCAGTACCACCCGTCCCAGATCCGCATCGTGCCCCCTGGCCTGCGACAACAGGTCGTCAAACATGTGCAAATTGTTTTGTATATCTATTAATTTTTCACCCCGCCACTGTTCGTTAAAGTTAACTTTGAATGTTGTGTCGCGTACCCAATTTTTCTTAAAGGTTCTGGTATCCCTCTTTCAAATATAGTAAGGTTTTGTTGACGTGTCCTCAGAATCGGAACTCTCCCCACCACCCCCGAGCTGTCCACTCGTTGAAGGCTGATCGCCATCAGCGAGGGTAGGTCGACTTTTTTTAGCAGGGGATTCCATCTCAGAGAGAACCTCTTGCCATAAATCATCGATGTGCTTTTCCCATTGGAGTTCCCGTAACCGGTCCTCAATCTCCATGTTACCGGTAAGACGATTGGCTGCAGCAAACAACTGTATTGTTTCTGGGTCATGCAACGAATTAAGGATTTCTTTAAGAAGACTTTGGTCTGCCATGACTTAAAATGGAAACAATTTATATTTTCAATACACCAAATTTGATTGATACACCTACTGTTATGACACTTTTTTAATAGCTGAAAAGATTAATAGCTACTTATGTTTTTCTTATTAAAAAATTCTTTGATTAACAAAATCAATTGCCCGCACCTCTAACACACCAAAATGAAGACAAAACAAGACACTTTGATATGGAAAAGTTTTTTTTTTCTAAAAAATCTACAAATATAAAAACATGTAAACAGGTAAGAAAAGGTTATGTTTTACAAAGTTTCAAAAATGCAAGCATATACAAAAGATGGAAATAAAAAAAAATCATCTCCACTTCCTTCATCATCATCATTGATGATCTCAATGTTAGCACCATATTGAAAACTAGAGAAGCACCATGAGTACAATGGAAATCTGTAAGACAATAATAAAAAAATGTAAACAAGCGAGACTAGTTTTTAATTTTTGTATACATAAGTTTATGTATTACACACTATCATATTATTTATAGACTACAAAACCAAAAACAAAAGCTTCTTGCATAAACAATTCTACAGAATCTTGTGGAGAAAAAAAATTAAAAAATAAAATTAAAAAAAATACAAGAATAATGTCACTGACCGAAATTTGTCTCAAAATAAAACTGGTTGGCATAGTCGCATAATTTTATTTCAGGTAAACTCAATATACTTGTAAATATTACAATATCACAATGCATACACTACCAAAAAAACTAATATAAAAGATATGAACATCATTTTGCCAACAAGATAGTCAAAGGGAAGTAACTCCTAATGCAACGCAGAAAACATGAAAATGTAGCAGCATCATAAAAAAAATCTTTCTCAAAACAAAGACAGTTTACCATTAATGTAGAATGTTCTGCTAAACACAACTTGTAAATATTGACAAAAAAGATTTTTAAAAAACTTAGACCAATAATTTTGCTTCATATTGTATAGTCACTCTCCTTTGCGTATCCTAGAAATATTTAACAACTGGATATATACATACAATATTAAACACTTGTCGAAAACTACACTACGCTAGTTTTGGAGAAGTTAAGTCTTTTAGCACAGGAACGTCTAGTTCTGTGCCTTACTGGCTTCTCCTCCTCCTCCTCCTCCTCCTCCTCGTCTTCAATCTCTGGTGTGGAGGACGGTGCACTACTGATGGAAGATGCTGGTGGTGTGTGCATCACCATCAAAGGGACAAGGCTCAGTTGTCCTGGCGAGAATGTTGGGTTGGAAATAGGTGGTGTTTGTTGGTGGTGGTCATCATTATTCTCCTCGTCGTCTATATTACAGCATTTTTTAGTCAGCCATTTTTTAACAAGGATGATGAGTGTGGCAACTGATGCTGCTATTGCCCACATCAAAAATCCTACAATTATAAAAAAAAAAACAAATAAAAAAAAATAAATTTAGACATTTGAAAACTGTGTAAAAAAATATATATATATAACATACATTAACATATACTTTTTTTATTTTAATCAGTTAATTGTGCTGATCTTAAAAAATTAAACCTCTGAAAACTGCGTGGTAGTTAAACAACATAAAGTTCAAATGAATGTATAGTAGTTACCTAAGGCCATGTCTGTTAATGAGCCTTTTTCTCCATCACTAGAATTCATAGCTTTTAGGAACTTCTCTTTCAAATCCTCTATAGACGTTCCTATAATAAATAATCCATAAACCTTTTCAAAGAATGTTCAATCAATTTTAAGATTTATTTGTGCCCACCCATTTTTACATTTAACTCTCATTTTTAAAAACTTACCATGCTTTTTAGTTGTCATAAATGGGGTCTCGACCAAAACAGCAAAACGGGTGGTCTCTTTTGTTGTTGTTGTTTTTCCGTTTAATGCAGTTGTTTCTAAAAATAAAACAGTGATGATTTATTGACTGTTCTTTATTTTTTTTACCCTAAAACGTGTTTAATTATATATGTTCCTAGAAAAAATAATTTATTCCCCCATTGTAAATTTAACTATCATAATTATAAAAAAAAAAACTTACCGTGTTTTTCAGACAGTGTACTTGTGAATGGAGTTGTTGTTGTTGTTTTTTCGGTCCTTACAGTTGTTTCTATCAAATAATATATATTTTAGTACAATTTTATATTTCCAGTGTTGTAACTCATTATCCCACAACAAATTCTTTAAAAAAAAAAAGAAAGCTGATTGACTAGATCGCTTTATTTTACTACACATTCCATAGTAAATCTTACTGACTCAATAGACCAGTCCTTTCGACGTTAAAAGTCAGTTACTTAATGGCATTAAGATTTTCCTGCAGTGAATGAAAGTTTCATTTACTAGATCGCCCTCCCATGATAAATTCTATTGACTCGATTGGCCAATCCTTTTGACTTTATAAGTCACATGACTTAATCAAACGAAGAATTTCCCACAGTGATGTTCCAGTAAATAATACATATGCGTTCCCATTAAATTCGGTTTATAAAAAGATCGTCCCTATATTAATTATTACTTCTTTTTTTTTAACGGACCTTTTTGATTACATGGTTGAACTCCTTTATTAAAATTTCTAACATTTTATAGATACAAATTATTTTATAAAATTACACAATATATATACATAAATGTATAAAGTACACTTACCAGTACAAATCTTTTGAAATCGGTCACGCATAATTGGTCCGTTGTTGTTTTTCCAGTCAATCTTAATCATTTTAACGTTACAGTCAAATAAGGATATTTCCCGCAAGTCGGGTTGCCATCTCAACGTTACGCAAGATGAAAATCTGTACACTTATACAGTCCCTGAAACGTTCTACTTTCCCACTTGAACGGTGAGCGAACGCTGAACGAACGGTGAACGAACGCAGAGCGAACGGTGAGTGAACGATGTGTGAACGCTGAACGCAACTTGGTGAACGATGTGTGAACGGTGAGCGAACGCAGAACGCGAACGGAGCGCAAACGCGAACGCAAAGTGAACGGTGAACGAACGGTGAACGCAAGATGAACGATTTATTCGGAATGCATCTGGTCTTTTCCTTGCATTGAAACTATTCTATTGTATGTATGCCTGGTGCTAAAAAAAATAAAGAAATAATAAATAAACAAATCAATGAAAAGTGTCCTAAGAAAGACGATACATGCACAATAAGTAAAATTATTAATTTAAGTTTCTTACATTATTTTCTGCACATATGTACGATGTTTAAATTAAACTTTTTAATAAGACGATTTTTATCGCTGTAAAACATTGTAATTGTTACCGAACGCTGTAGTATTAAAGATAAAATCAATCTAGTTGTAAAATAAATATGTTTATTCTTATTTGATATGTAAAATCATTACAAATAATATGGATTTTAGAAGAGCAAACTACGGACTTACAGAATTAATTACAACGGTTGTAACAACCATACATATATTTCCGTGCCAAGACGATTCCGTGTAAAATAATGGAAAAAAAATTAAAATATTTTACAAAGGTATGTGGACGTATTGCATAAATACACCCGTATTTTAAAACTTTAATGCAATAATATATTTATGAGTCAGTTTTATTTTTTATGATGTATCTGTAGTCATTTCCCGGCCGTGATTATACTCGAATATGATACAAAGAGGCATTCATATTATTTGTTATATATTAAATTTTCACAACTTGATATTTAAGTAATGTGCTGTCATAGTTTTTATTAAACAGACAAATGAGAGAGAGAGAGATTCAGTTTTAGCCTCCCCCCCCCCCTTTCTCAAATGTTTGTACCTACATGTATATCAAATAAAAATTCTTTTTTTTTAAATATACCAGGCAATGAAAGAAACTATTGTTATCAACAAATCCATTTGTTTAACAGTCGTAATCGGTTTTTATTATCCTGCTTCAAGTTCACACGAAGTCCACGTGCTTGACCTGTCAATCAAAATCATTCGACACTGTGCAGGTGTGAAAGTCTCGTCACACCGAAGGCAAAGTGTTAAGTATTTCTAAGAAGTTTTAACATTTTTTCTTATCATTCTAGATCTAATTCCAACATTTCTAAAAAAAAAAAAATAATAATAATAAATGAATAAAATACATTGGGAATAACCACTTCGAATGATTAAGCCGCTTGAATTCGAAACCTACTACCTGCCAAAATATCACCGCCGGCACATGTATATTTTGAACTACTATTGTTTAATGACTTTGTTAAGATGCATGTTTGTTTTGAGACTGAAGTTTTTGTGCTACAAAACACATTAACTTCTATTTAAATGTTAATTAAAATATACCGAAAATGCAAACTAAGTAACCGATTTACGGGAAAGGGGGGTGGGGGGGTGGGGGTGGGGGCTCTTAATGATATCGAATGGCAAATATATAAATATCATTACTGGAGAATCACTTTGGTTATATTAACGATAATCATGTTATAAAGGCATTTATCTCTCTCTAATTAAAGACTTTATATATATAAAGTAGGAAAAAATTCTATAATGTATCACATTTTAATTTTTTTTTCAAACCACATTATCAATTTAATTCGCTCTTAAGATATTTAATCAACTGGATATCTGCAGTACTATTTATAATCCTCAGAATTAGTTCTAACATGTATTTCTGTATTACTTGAAAAAAAAATGTGTTAGAAATAAATATTTTAAATATAACAACAAAATGTCGCACTACTTGAAGCATCTGTATATTGCCCGTATTTAAATTTAATTTTTCAGCATTGTTCTACATAGTTACATACATGTACTTATAACAACATTTATTTTCCAGATAAATTTAGTAAATAACCTAACAGCTAAGTTAGAATAATAAAAATAAATATTGTAAATATTTTTTTCTTGAAACACGAAATGTTTATTATTAATTTTGTAATTCCTTACTTAAAAAAAGATAAGTCCATTCACTTCGGAGTTCCGAATGACAGTAAAGACTGAACGATAAGTGAACGCTGAACGCAAGGTGAACGCAAAGTGAACGAACGAAGAGCGAAGGGTGAACGCTTTGTAAACGGTGAACGCGAGCGCACGGTGAACGCTGAACGCAAAACTGTGAACGGTGAACGCACGCTGAACGAACGGTGAACGAACGGTGAGCGAACGGAAAAATGGGAAAGTAGAACGTTTCAGGGACTGTAAATCCCATAACGAAGGGAGCAAGGGGGACATTTCGCACCTTGGGTGCCATAACAATATAAAATGGTTAACAGCAGGATTACCGATCCTATCTTTCCGATCTCCATTTTCAGACTAGGACGGATGGCGCGAATTCTACACGGACTTTGATCATGTTACCTACACGGAGTTTCATCTGTCGTTTCATCTCTTGTTTAGATCGGTAACCCATATTTGGGTACCGGATACTTAAAGACACATTATTATTATTATAAAACCAAGACTTAAATGATGATGTTTAGTGTTGATATAGTATACGCGATACATTTCCTTTTAATTTCTGTAATCAAATAACTCACTCTTTTTAATTGTAATGTTCTCTTTTCTATAAATATTTAATATTTTTCCCTATAAAGCTTTTATATAAACGTAAAAACAATTTAAAAAATGATCTATTAAAACAAAGTGTTACCCTTTAATAGTTTTTTTTTTTTAGTTTTTAAAAAAGTTTGAATTTAGATTCATATTTAGATTATTATTCTCATTATCATTTCACAATATACAACTTTTCTAAATTATCATTTATGACATGCGTAAAAACGATTAAAAGAATAAACTGTTGAAACTAATATGTAAATATTATATAATTTCCTCTTTTTTAAAAAAAAGAAGTTTTACTACTCTTCCTTTTTTTTTGAAACTAATTGTTTTAACAGATGTAATGCGACAACACTGTAGAAGAAGTATTAACACTGCTCGGTGGGAGCGAAACAACAATTAAACCAGCTTGAATAGTTAATGATCATGCCACTATTTCAGATGAGTCGATTACCCATATTTGACTTTTTGTTTTTTCAATTTCACACCGAATTCATTTTACAGTATACATATCCTTGTCCACACTTATAAAAAAAATAGACATACTTCATTATGTCTTGTGTTAATATAGTAGATGTGATTCTTTTTACATCTTAAAACCATTTGATGTGTTAAACTTTAATGTAGTGCACATCTCTAAAGTTTTTTTTATAAAAAAAAAAAAATAATTCAACTATTAATAGGTATATGTTTCACTTAAAACGTTTGAAGTTTGTAAAAGAGGGGTATGTGTAAAACACGAAACGAGAAACAAGAAACGAGAAATGAGAAACAATAGCATAAAAAAAAAAACAATGACCTAAAAATGTCAACCAAGGGGCAGCTTTTGCCTTGATTTCATTTTGTTAGAAAACAAGTGCTAAGTGAAATTAAAACATATAACTAAGGACAGATTTATCAGTGATCCGGCACTGCTAACCCATAAAGACATGACAGATTTAATTAAATATCAACAGCTGAAAAGTACACAATTGGTAAGAGACAGATTCCTTCAAACTATTTTCTGCATTTTACATAATCAACAAAATGTTGAATAAAATGCTAAACAAAATGTTAAATAATATATTTATAAATACTTATTTATAAATAATATATTTATATTTTTGTTATATATGTAGTAAAGAAAACTTACATAAACATTGACAATAAATTTCACCAATAATACATGTATTACCAGAACTACTAAATCATTGTGGTAGTAAAAACCTAATGATCAGTAACAGTTGATTCTTTTTGACAGAGGTATAGTTAGAGTTCTGATGTAGAAATTTGGACCATTATATATAGTATCCTAACGGAAATACATCAAATTAGTTTATCAATGAAATTGTATCATTTGATGATAACATTATAAGCAAAAACTGAGTAAGCATTTCTTTCAGGTAATCGTATTGTATTAATTAAATCTGTCAACATTTTATTTTTGTGTGTGTGTGTGTGAGATAGTTGTGCGGGGTCGATGATAAACCTGACCTAAGTTAGATTTTTCCTTTCACTCTGTATCTGTTATTTAACAAAACGAAATCAAAAGCACAAGCTGCTCCCCTTTGTTGACATTTTAAGGTCATTAGGTGTTTTATGCTGAATCTGACATTCCATTGTTTCTCGTTTCGCGTTTCTCGTTTCGTGTTTTACACATACCCGTAAAAGAGTTTTGAACTCTCTATTATCTCTCTCGCTCACCAAAATCGAGGGCAGAAGTGGGGGGAATAACAAAGTAGACGACACGGCTCGGATAATACAAACAAATTTATAGCATCCTCTATTGCTACACTGTCGACTGATTTATGCTCAAAAATCAAATTAATTTACATTAATCTTTCGTAAACTTTGTTCAATGTTTAAATGTAAATATCAAAAGTCACTATTGTTTATATCAATGTCAGACTTGTGCTAGGAGCGCCCAAGAGAGAGAGGGGCCATTCTAAAGCTGAAACAACAATTAAATCAACACAATAGGTCACCTCAAATAGTTAATTTTTCCTTCTTTTGCACGTACAGGGCAAATTGAGGTTAACGTGTTCTCAAAAAAGAGGCTAGTATGGATGTTACAAAACGTTCAAATTAGAACACGTTTAAATAAAAGTATGGTTTCACGGTAGATCGCGTTATCAGAACCCGCATCCACTAGATAGCAATAATTAGTTCGGAATACCTTATTGATGGTACAGAGTGTATATGATTGCTTCGTTTAAAATAACGATTTTTATCGAATTAAACATATTT